AAGAAAGAAAGAAGAAAGAAAGAAAGAAAGAAAGACCATTACAGATAGATAGATAGAAGAAAGAAAGAATGAAAGACAGAAAGATAGGTAGAAGTTTGTCAGATTATGTTTGTCAAATTGTTTGTCAAGCCAACATAATAAATACATGCTGAGAAATCAGTTCTGCTGATGTAAAGTGAGACATTCTAGCAAATGATCTCCCACAGCTCTGTCTCAATCCACAGTGCTTGTTGTTCATCTTAAATTATCTTAAGTAAATGTGACATTCCACATAAACTTAGGATAATTCTGAACCTCTCAACACATTTGAAAAAAAAAATTCAGTTTAGTATGTGGTGATTAATATCTGGGGGACAGCACAATGTAACTGCATTATTCCTAAAACAGTAACACACTATGATTACTTTTTTTATGGAAAGTAATGCATTAGCTAGTTTTTCATTCACCCACTGAAGCAAAAAGTCCATTAAAAATTAAGCAAGATTGATAAATTTAATAATGACAGCATTTTGATGAGTGCGTTATCAAATACTGAGTATCCTGAAAATCATTTTGCTGCCATGTCCTGTTTCAAAGAGATCCTCTTTTTTTTTTTTTGTTTGATTGTTTTGCAAGAGGCTTCAGCTCACATCCATGCAAAATCTCATAAATTCAGCATAATCTGACACTATGTAGAGGTACGCAGGGCATATGGCTCAGTGCAAGGCGTAGGACTTATCATCACCATGTCCATTCTATCGACATCATCACCATTGCACTCTGAAACAGATGATGATGAATTCTGGGAAATCTCCGTATCTTTCTCCGTGCTGCCCTGGCGGGGGTCAGGAGTGGCTTATCAGCGTGCATGAGATCATGGATGAGTGTGAGTGTACGTAGTATGTGTTCATGCTTTTGTTGCGGTGTTTAGAGCGCTTTTGGTGATTTCGAAGTACGTGTGTAGATATTTGTGCACTGAGTGGTGTGTAGCTGTTTCGCTAGTTTGTTGCATAGAAATGCAATGTTCATGGTTGCGTTAATAACTCATTTTATGCACTGTTTCTTTTGGGTAAATGAAGACATGCAACATTCATGTGAGGTAAAAGGCTGACTGAAAATGAAAGGTGAATGTATGTGGTGCTGCTCAGTGTATTTGTATTTTTTATTTTCGCTCCAGATGATGGTTTTATAAGGTTTCTGGGTTCTAAAGAGCTGTAGAAACACATCGGAACATCTTTTGAACCTAAATTATCTGACATACCAATTCAACCGGGACTTTGATTTGACCTCCCAAAGAAAAGCAATGGTTCCAGACGAAAGTGACTGTCATGTGAGTTGCAGTTCTGACAGAGATGCACCCTTTGCTCCTGTTGTCGTCATCACTTGTCTTTCTGTTTAGTGTTGCAGCTAGATCCAAACCTCCGTTCCCCAACTCTAAATCCATATTCATTCTCAAATACTAGGTTCTGATTGAGAAGAGAAACAAATTGCACCAAAACGGAGTCAGACTGGCTTATGTTAGCAAAGCTAGCCACTTCGCTAATGTAACAGTCTGGAACCAAAGCAAATTCCTTGGTGTTAAAAACATAGAACCCATTAAAGTTGAGCCCTTCACTCATAATTCTGGTAAAAATGAAGTCAAACACGAATAACAGGTGAGTATATTTAGAACGGTAAACATATTAGCAACAAATGTTAAGTGCAAATGTTGTTGTCATGTTGTTTTGTTGAATTTCTGATGCATTAGCCTCAGGTTTAACTTTAGGTTGATTTAACTCCAATGTTTCCGCCCCAATACAGACTTCACTGAAAAGGACTGATCATGATGAAAAACACACTGAACATGATTTAGATATAAAATGAGCTGAGGCAGCTTTTGGCACTGCACTGCGACTCTGTAGGTAAGATTAGAGGATAAGAGCTAAATAGCAAACAGTGTCTCCACTATTTGTGAATAGGAGCTGACAAAAAGTTTGCTAATAATGTATTAGCCAAAATATTTTATACATATTTAAATTTATAAATAATTAAGTTGATTACAAAATAATTAGATGTATACATATATACTGATTAAAGGGATAGTTCACCTTCAGTCGCTGGTCCCCATTGACTTCCATAGTATGGAGAGAAAAAAAAACCACTATGCAAGTCAATGGGGACCATCAGCTGAAGATGAACTATCCCTTTAAGAATATAGAAAATTATATATCATTTGGTATTCTTTTCAGTGTGACTCTTTCTGCATGTTACATATAATTACGTCAGAATGTGACAACAAGTGACAACAATTTTCGGTGTTATGAGTGATTCGCTGAATAATTCTCAACCCAGTTGTTAAAAACACTGATTCAAAACAAGTACAGAACATATGAGTGACTCATTAAATCATCTCTCAAACGATTCGTTCAAAAACACTAATTCTTTCAGAGATGAAACTAGTACTCGATACATGAGTGACTCGTTGAATTGTTCACTCACGTTTCATTCAAAAACACTGAATCATTCAGGAACGAAATCGACCACTTCGAGATGCAGATTTGTTTCGAAATATTGTCATTGGCGGTGCAAAACTAAAACAAATATCTGTTAATATAGTCCCTAAAATGTAAGTTTAGGGACTTGCCGTTATTTGCCGTTAGTACCCTGGTGGTAAACACGTTAATGACACTATACCACGTTTACAAAATAGTGAATTGTACAGACACTGTGGTTGAGCCAAATTGAGTGTGAAAACTCCCTGAAATTCTAAATAGTGGATTTGACACTGTTTAAACAAGTGAATTTTTATATAAAATATAAAGATTTTTTAAATAATCATGCAATATAATACAAATTTGATATGAACGATTTGTAAGATAGTAGATAGGTTGCAACTTGATTCATTGTACAACTCCTGTGAAACTGTCTTTCATTTGTACTGATGACAGAATCAAGTTTATTTTCAAGCTGTTTTAAATGAGAACTAAATCAGCTATTTTTACAGAATTCAACAAGGCATGATTTGTTCGCTAGAGCCCTTTGGGCTGGCATAACACTGTCAAGCACATGCGTTACAAATACAAACTGTCACAACAGTTAAGATATGCTTGTGATAGCAGAACTAAAAGCACTTACATTTCACATAAATATTCATTCTCACTTCCTGTGTTCTTTACAGTTGATCACACTGTTGCATCAGCTGCATGCTTGCATGCTTAGTAGAAGTCTCTTTAACTGTTCTTTTAAGGGGGTCATATCATGAGCAATCAGATTTTTTGAGAAAACTAACTATGAGTTACGTCTTGATGCAATGATTGACAGGTGGGAATGTGAACATGTTAATGCAATTGCCGTGGAATGCATTTTCAAGTTGTATTAATATGTTAAAAATATCCCTCCATTTTATTTTTGCTAATTAAGTTACCGTTCAAAAGTTTAGGGTTGGTAAGATGTTTTTGAAAGAAGTCTCTTATGCTCACGAAGGCTGCATGTATTTGATCAAAAATACAGTAAAGACAGTAATATTGTGAAATATGATTACAGTTTAAAATAGCCAAATAAATAATACATTTAATATATTTTACATGTAATTTATTCCTGTAATGCAAAGCGGAATTCTCGCATTCATTACTCCAGTCTTCAGTCACATGATCCTTCAGAAATCATTCTGATATGCTGATTTAGTGCTTAAGAAACATAAATTATGAATATGAATCAATAAATTATAAATTAAACATTTTTGGTTAAAAAATTTATTAGTGAAAAACAATGTATGATATGACCCCTTTAATGCAAAATTAACCTCAATGAATAGTGCTCTTCTTATTTAAAATAACATTTTGAGGATATTTACCAAAGATAATCCAATAACCGGGGCTTGAAACGTTCTGTGTCACTCTGTTTTTGACAACCACTCTGGCCTTCTGCAGTGCAACCTCACAAGAGCACAAGAGCATCAACAGCAGATTTGTAATTCCCTCCTCATCCCTCTCTCTTCCTTTTCTTTGTGTCTATCCCTCTTTCCCTGAGCGATTCTCTGGATATTTTTCATTCCTCTGCTGTGCGACTCATGCTCCCGTTTTATTCCTCCTTTACTGCTCTTCCAATCCCTCATCACCTCAAATCTCTCTTTCTCTTTCTCCCTCTCACTCTGACCCCGTGACCTCCATTTGCTTTGATCTTCCTGTTCTGCACTTCCCTATCGATCTTCTTGCCATGGGAACTTCTCTGTTTTGCATTCCATTTGCTGATTTTTTTTGCGGAATCTTCATCTCTCCATCATTCCATCCCTCCTCCTCTCCGCCTGCTCTCTCTCTTCTCCTCCCCTTTCCTCTGTCTCTCTGTCTCGCTAGGAATAGCAGCTTTCCGCCTTGGATTCAGCAGACCCCGGTGTGAGTTTTGGAGGGGAATTGACCAGCTCTCCTGGCGTTGTGGGAGTCTCCCAATCGGACAAATCCTCCACCCGATCCCCCCTGAACGGAATCTTGTCCTTCCCGTTAGCCTCCCCTCCTCATTCCCATCCTCACGCACAACTCCAGCCGAACGGAGAGTTCTCCGGCAACCAAAAATCAGCAATGGCATCGAGGGCAAGTTTGGAGGGGGAGCAGGTCAATAACAACGCTGACCGAATCCAAGAGAATTTTTAGGAATTCCGAAGAAAAATTCACATCCTTTGTCATCCTTTGAAGCTTCAGCGGTTGTTTTATTTTGTGCATTAGACTGAGGACAAGTGGGAGGTGGAACACACCATTACTTGCACCATCCAAAACAAAAGGGCTCTACATTGGATCCGATATGTTATTCCAAAATCACGTTTACTTTGGATCAAATTTAAAAGCCCCTTGCACATACAGTACCTCTGCCACCACAGGTCATCCAAACCACTCGAAAGTGCTTGGTTCAGGTTCCAGGTTTTTTGACTGAGTTCCCTCATAATGTGTAAAAAATTCCAAGAAGCTGGGAATGACCCCAGGACCGGTGGGCAAACAAACTATACGTACGTTTCGAAGTGTATAGAGATCGAAAAAACGCCAGCTTTGTCTTGAGGATTTTGTCATGTCATTTGGCTTCCCTAGTGCCTTTCTGTATCTCCTGACAGGGTTTTCAAACGAACGCAAGAATAACGACAGCAGAATTACAGAAATGGTTGTGCAAACGCCGCTCTCTTCTCGAGACTGCTCACTTAGAAGAGATTGATGTGTTCTTCTGCCTCAATGTAATGCTGAAAATGTCAAGCTTTGGAATACGACCATGGCTCTGGTTTTTTTGTGGACAATGTCTGGAAAGTGCTTGTGGTCTTTGAATTGCCTCACTAGACTGAACTTGTGCAATGTTCTCTCTTCTCAATCTCAGAACCTGTGTGTATTTAACTGGTGCTATGGATTCTCAAAGCATTGCTCTGTGTCACATCACCGCCTCCCATTCTGTCATCGTCCTGACTGTTCATATGTGTCTTCGTCCTCCCATTATCTCCTTACGGGCCGATTTTGACTTTCTTTCAGTGTGTGTCTGCAACAGGAGATGAGCGCGAGGTGATCTCTGTCAGGTCAAAAACCTTTTGTCTTTTTACTAAAACAAGATGCTAGGCCAGAATGCAGTTGTGGTCGTATGGTGTTTTTTATACAGAAACTTTTTTGTGTGTTTTTGTCTAAAAAGACAGTTTAAAGTCAACATGAAAGCAACCAATTTTCCCTCCATAATGTGACTTTTTGGAGTAAAATGGGAAGAACTTTTTTTTATTTGAACTTTTAGGAATTCATTGGATTTAAAAAAAAAAATTGGTGTTACTAGAATGGAGTCTGGTGGCTAAAAAACAAAAGCGAGTTGCTTCAAAGGTGGTGCAACTTGTATTTTGTTAAAAGATTATGAAAACAACACTGTTTTTATATAGAATAGCATGCACCAAATAATCATCAATAAGACGACTAAGAATGTACATTGAAAAAGTAGACAATGACTCGCACCAAATAATCAGTACATTTACATTTATGCGTTTGGCAGATGCTTTTATGCAAAGCAACTTTTATTGCATTCAAGGTTTACATTTTATCAGTTCACACAGGGGGAGTCGAACCCATGACCTACTCTTTAAGCTATGCTACAAAATTGTGAATAATAAGTTAACAAGTAAACATGGTCCATTTTGTTTTCATGTTGACTTTAAAGTTGCTCAAGCATCTCTAAAGTAGTTTTTGGTAGCGATGAATGGTCATTTTAGGAAAGATCTTGTTAGATAACAGACTTGGTTTGTAAAATAATCAGATCTTATGTACTGTACATAAATATTGCTAGCTATAATTCCTCATTTGAGTATCACTGCCATCTGGTAATGATTGCATTCCTCATCGCTCACTACAAGTTGTTTTATTGTTTGTTTTACGATTAATCATTTCATTGTCATGTTTCTACAGACTCAAGACATTCACATGGCTTCGCTGATACAAGTCATTCATTTGTAACCCAGTTCATTGTTGATTGCCTTGTTGTTGCATTGTAAACCAATACAAGTTGTAACAACTTCACCAATACAGCAGGCCTAGATGAGAGTGAGGTGATTTAAGTCGTAACTGCACAATAAAAACACTGAGCTGTACTGTAATATTTATAGATTGGGAAGGCACTAGAGAGGAGAATGGACTGATTGCCATTTTAGCTTTTAAGAGCTTCGAGGGCTATCTTTAAGTGACTTCTACTCCATTTAGTAATAATAAACAGGCAATTTTGTTTATGTCCCAATAGCGGTTGAGAAAAAGTGGGATAACAGGGTTATCAGCTGAAAAATGTGCCATGACATGAATATACCTCAGACGTAGAATCGAATGACTCAGGTAAACTTTCAATTGCCTCACAGTTTAACGCAAACTGGATAGAAAAAAAAACTCATTTTAAGTTAAACTGCCTGTTTTGGTAGTTAGTCCATTTCTTCTCTGAGATTAGTAGCAGTGATTGGTCAGCGGCTCATCAAGCACCTCCTCTTTTCCCTGCATCTCCAGCCAATCACAAAGCTTCGTGGAGGACAATCTGCAACCTAATTGGAGGCCTCACCTTGGACATTCTTCAGGTTGGCCAGGTTTTAATTCCAGGGCGCTGTCACGCGATTCGGTTGGTTGACAGAGGGGAAACTGAAGCTTTGACTCAGCGCCAGAGCCGATCCAAAGAAAAAATATAGGTTCCCTTCCTCTGACGTGCCCTCTCTCTGGTATAATTCGATAGGATGACCGTTTGGGATGCTTAACATCTGTCAGACGGCTTCTGCGTGCCTCTTAACAGCGCAGTGGTTCATTGAGAGAGCTGGAGAGGTTCTGAGGATCAGATCAATCTCAAAGGTGCTGTTTTTTAGGTTCTTTACTCATGTAGGATATTGAACAGTCCTCTACTTCTCATTATGATCTTCATATACCACCTTAGCTCTGCCTGTCATGCCTGCCTGCGTCTCAATCATGTCTTTTATTTTGGGGAAACTGAATATGCACAGCCATTTTTTTTTTCTCAAGAGACGCTGATTTGTCCTTCAGCGGATTTGATAAGAGGCTGTAAATATCCGAACTTTTGTTTCCTGCCGGTTTTCTACTTCTTGACTGGACCTCACCCAGATGAGATCACGTATTTACATGCTGGTAATGTGAGACAAGAACTTGAAAAGTCTGAAAATAATCCTTTTTTGATCCGTAAATTTATGAGACAATCTCTTCGCAAAGAAAAATCGACAACCTGTTATTTTACCTGCTCCCCCTCCCCGCACTTGGCTGGATCCTCGCAGACTCTTTGTATGTGAAAGAAAGATGGATTCTTTTACTTTTTAATTCTCTTTCATTTTGCTGTGGAGTTCTTGATTTTATGGACGACACCGTTTGGAAGTGGAATCCTCTTATTTAGAAATTTGGCAGTCGCACGTTTGTAGGATTGTGGGTAGTTTTGCGAAGTTTTAAATGTAACTTTATTTCCTTGTTTGGATGCCATTGCAGGGCAACACGGACATTTCTCTGCTTCCTTTTTACACCACTAGACAAAAATATAAATGTTGAGAGATCATGCAGGTCGAAATAATGTTGTGGGTGACTGTGTGTATATACAGTGTGTGTACAGTCTTTGTGTATATACTGGATGTATGGATGGTTATATAATATAAATATATATATATACATATACGTGTATTTTGTACATAAGATATGTTTGTATATGCAGTGTACAGAATGTGTTCTTTTACACCGATTTCCCTTTTTCTCGATATGTGGAAAAAGTAAAAGCATAACAGAACTTTGTGGGAATGAAAACTCGCATTGGCGACTCGTCGGCGGAGTTATTCGAAGCACTTTTCGCTCAGGCTGATTATACGCAGTCTGAAACTTAGCCTACAATGCATCGCCGTGGGTCCGCCACACGCTTTGCCAGTCTAAAGCTTGCACTCATTTTCTCACTGATTGAGGTGTTTTGTAACAGGTTCTGGATGACCAAGCAATGCTTGTACATAAATAGGCTATATAGGCTTAATACCTACCGTATGTTTGCAAATATCAACTTTTCCAGACATGAGTCACCTGCTAATCTTTGCAGCTTTTGCATCGCCACTTGCTTTCAATTTCAATGCGGTGCCGTGCGTCAGATTTTTTTTGGATCGCTGTAGAAGGTCGATCTCGTGAGAAGACTCACGAAGAATCTTTTGTATGGCCTGATGCTTTATTCCCTCATTACTTGCCTAGCAACTCTTCCATGCAAGTAATCGCTTCTTTGTCCCCTGTAAATAAATGGAGTTCCCATGATGTGCCTCTTTCTAATAAACTTCAGTTGGTCTTTGTCAGCCATAAGCCAATCACAGTCATCTCTCTTGACAAGCCATAAGCCCCGCCCCTAAATTTCCATTTTTGAAAAGGGCAGACACTTGGGAATTGTATTTCTTTTTGTATATATTAATAGAAAGAGTGGTATGTCAGAGTGTATTGCCGATGTTTTTTGGATTTGTTATGAATGTTGATATTCTGGTTATTGAATTATGATTATTATTGTAATAATATAATGACTGCTGTTATCATTTCATCATTCTTTAGTTTATTCAATACTGTTAAAGACTTTCATTTCTTTTTGAATAAATCGGAATTTATATTTTTCGGGTGGGCTAATTATAGAAATGAAATCAATTAAACAGATGAATAAAGAAATAAATTCTTATTGAATTCATTTACGATACTGAGAATGATGTTTTATCTATCTATCTATCTATCTATCTATCTATCTATCTATCTATCTACTATCTATCTATCTATCTATCTATCTATCTATCTATCTATTGTTCTGTCGTTCTGTCTGTCTGTCTGGCTGAAAAAAATAAAGTTGTGGCTGTTTCAGTTGATATAATTGACGCCACTCCCAGGTTCCACAACTCGGCTGATTAAAATGCGCCTTTATTAATACCTTCAGCTAAAGTAGAAGATAATAAGAATGAAACAAGATGGAGGCTTGTGATTTCAGTATTGCTGTGTCTTGTCAAACGTGTTAAAAATGCAGCTGCCAGGTGATGCCAGATGGTCCATCTGCTAATCTTGACCAGAGACGAGGGGTTGATGAGAACATTTTAAATTGTAATTACTATTTTAAACAGCTTGTGGCTGGATCTACAGTACTCTGAAATTTGTAGCTGTTTAATGCCTGCATAAACATTAAAAAAATATAAAAATAAAATCAGCATAAACATGCAATTCACATATATTTTTGCAACTATATATTTTCCTTAAATTGGGTGTTTTGAAACTAAAACTTTTGAGAACAATTTTCTAGAGGGAAATTGCATATCTGACTTTACTTTCCATTCATAAAACTCTTTATGACTTTACTTTCCATTCATAAAACTCTTACTGTGCCTTCAGACATATCCATTACTTATAAAACATGCAGGGCCGGTTCTAGACATTTGGAGGCCCCCCACCCTGCAATAAAAAGCACATGAAACAAATATGATTCCTAATCCTTTTATTGATACAACACTTCATTTTAAATTTTGCATACTTATACAGTACTGGTCAAAAGTTTGGACGCATTACTATTTTTTATGTTTTTGAAAGAAGTCTCTTATGCTCATCAAGTCAGAATTTATTTGATCAAAAATTCAGAAAACATTTTTTATTGTGAAATATTATTACAATTTAAAATAATGGTTTTCTATTTTACTGTAAAATATAATCTATTTCAGTGAGGCAAAGCTAAATTTTCAGCATCATTACTCCAGCCTTCCATTATAACCTGTGATACTCTTTTCAGGATTTTTTGATGATTCAAAAGTTGTTTCATATTACAAAATAGAATTTTTTTATAACAATATGTCTTTACTATCACTTTTTATCAACTTAACACATCCTAGTTGAATATTACTGTTTTTTCTATATTTTTGATCAAATAAATGCAGGCTTGATGAACATAAGAGATTTCTTTCAAAAACATAAAAAATAGTAATGTGTCCAAACTTTTGACCAGAACTGTATATAATCAAACTTTATCGAAGGTAATCTCTTTTTTGTTGGTTGGAGATGTTATTATAGCCATGATATTATGATGATGATGATGATTATTATGCAGTAATTTGTTTAGTAATTTATTCACAGTTCCTGAATACCACTTCAGTAAATCAACATCAGTGCTTTTATAATTTTTTTCCTAGCTGGGTATGGGCAGGATTTCTCTCATTTATTGACTACATATATTGTCAAATTATTCATATTAAAAATATTATATTATGTATTGCATTGTTACCTTAAATATGCACTATATAGTGAAAGAGATGATCAGTATTGTAATCATCAGCAGAATATAGAAGATACACACATCTGAGTTCCTTTTTTTTTTTGAAACATTAAAAAATGTTCTACTGTATTTGCTTTTTGACTTTGAATACAAACTTCTTTGCTATTACTTTTGTAGCTATTTTGCTAGCTGAAGGATGTGTTTGTCACAGCAAACATTTAGAAGGCGGGACCGCTTTGAAACGACAACATTAATTGGTTTAATTGCAGGTGAGTGACAATTCAACTATATCCAATGAAAAATTAGGCTAGTAGTTATGGTTATAGAGGCCTCTCCTCAAAGCCAATTGCCTGCTCTGCCTATAGTACCGGCCCTGAATATATGAAATATATAGTGATTTATCTCTGGTTGATCAATTGATTTACAGTGGTGACACCGTGACAGTGGTGAGAAAAGATGCCTTAAAGAACAAAACACATTACAAACGTCTGACAATAAACTGGTATGTTGGTTTTAAGCACAAGAAAAGAAATTACATTGACAAAAGTTCAGCAAGCTTATTACAGTTTGAAGAAAAATCTATATATACTTATTATAACTTAACAACATACTCATTTTCGAGTACTCATCATACAGTCATTTTTCTAAAGGACCGTCACACGAGCGACTGATCAGCTCGCCTGCAGCCGAGTGCTACTACTTGACCAAAAACTTGACCTCAGGAAACTCTCGCGAGACTTGTAGCGGCGCTGTAGGAATCTGTCAATTGTCGCGATACTTGCAGAGGTTGCTGAACTGTGTGCGGTGGGAGGGGGAAAAATGGCCGCTCGCGGAGCGACACTCGGAATGATGAGCGACAACAACACAAACACAACCCCTTTTAAGTGTGACAGCTGACCCGAACCGACACCAGCACACACACCGGCTTCCGAACGGATGGGTATCGCGGCCGGTGGCGGGGGAGGTCAGGAACGACAGCGTTTGTGTTCAAGTTATAATTTGCGGGAAATAGGTGAGTTAGCTAGCCTGCTAACGTTAGCCGCGCGCTAAACTGGAGCTGAACGAACTAGAACCAGAACAAGATACACGAAAACAGACCACAGCAGCTGCATTATCACTGCTAGGATGAGCGAACCGGGTCAAGACAGCGAGTCAGAGGCCAAAGTGCTTCATATTAAACGGCTGTACAGGTAAGAGTGCTGACAGCAGGCCGGTATTGTCAGGAAATCTTTGTAAGGCTTTATATATCTTATATTTTTGTGGGTCAGAAGTGTTGGAAAACATATTCACAAAGAGAAAATGCTAAACGAGACACTTGACACTCGAATACAGCGGCAGTTTA